GAGAGAGAGAGAGAGAGAGAGAGAGAGAGAGAGAGAGAGAGAGAGAGAGAGAGCAGCAGCAGCAGCAGCAGCAGCAGCAGCACTAGGGCAGGCGAAGCGGTTCGCCTTGAAACCCCTCCTAGCCCCGGTTGAGGCACATCTGGGCAAGCCTCACTACCCGAGAACATCGGATGCCCCCCCATCAAGCCCCCTCAAGCGATATTACTACCGATCATCTCACATGCTACCCTACCCCTACCGAGTGCATCACTAACAGCATCTGACAGCCCCCCCCCCCAAGCCCAGATCAAGTCCGTGACACTCCTAGCAGAGGCCGGCACACCCACCCTGGCATTACGGTTATACCCCCTGGCTACGTATTTGTATCTCCAGCCACTCTGTGTATGTGTGTAGGGCCCAGGCAACGTCAAGTGGTTAGCCTTGAAGCCCTGGCTAGCCCTACCTTCTTCCCCCGAACATAACGCATCTGCGTTGTATTCGAGTTTCAATTTTTTTTTAAAAAAAGAAGAGAACGCATATGTGTTGTATTCGAAATTTTGGTCTATTCGAATAGAATGCATATGCGTTGTATTCGAATAGAGCGCACCATATGCGTCGTATTCGTTTACAACACGTGTTATGTTCGGGGGAAGAAGGCAGGCTCTAAGCTCATTTATGTGGCTGTATGTTTTTTGTAAACCCATCTGCTGTGTGCCTGTATGTAGGGGCCACCCAAGGGCAAGCGGTTAGCCCCTTGACGCCCTGACAACCGTCTTCCCCCGAATAGAACGCCCGGTAATTATTGCCGTATCTGGACTGAAAGTTGCACCAAATACAGAGATAACGACCGGGCGTTCTATTCAGGTGAAGACGGTAGCCCCAGGCCATAAGCTCATGTGTATGCGTGTAGGCGCTAGGGAAGGCCAAGCGGTTAACTTTGAAGCCCCACCTAGTCCCGTGTCGTGAGCTCATGTACATATATATATTGTCACATATATATATATATCGTCAAACAGAGCTGCCCGGTAAACCATAGGCAGAGAGGGAGGGGAGGACAACAAACGAGGGGCTGTGGCAAACTGTTTCATCGGAGTTTCACCGATTCATCAATCAGTAGAGAGGCTGAACCCTCAACAGTCTGCAGAATCCCCTAACTGATTACACTGTACGGTTGTGCTTAAGCATCAACGACCGCCCGACAACTGATACCCTGAGGTGGGCACCAACCACTGCCCTCAAGGTACCTGTGGCAAAAGTCAAAGTATATATATATATATATATGAAACTCCGACGAAACAGTTTGTCACAGCCCCTCGTTTGTTGTCCTCTTCTCTCTCTCTGCCTACGGTTTACCGGGCAGTTCTGTTTGTGACAATATATAGGTGGGGCTTTCCTTCCTTCCTTCTTTTCCTTTCCTTGTTTTGCTTTCTTTCGCCTTCACGCTCTGATTCACAGTGTGACAATATATATATATTAAGGTGGATTATCACTTACAGTGTAATCAGTGAGGGGATTCT